TCAACATTGTTATTATTATGTATAAATAAATCAATAGTTTTTAAAAAAACAAATGTGAAAATTTTTAATGGCCAATAAAATGTCAAAAAATATTTCAAAATGTAATTAGTGATAGTAAAGATGGACACTTAACCTATTTTAAGTCTGTTGTTATTGTTAGGTGCCATTGAGTTGGTTCCAGCTCATAGCGACCCTATGCACAACAGAATGAAACTCTGCCTGGTCCTGGGCCAACCTACACAATTGTTGGTTGCAGTTATATCTAAATAATGTTGCAAACCATATCTTTTTTTTCAACAAAGCTTTTCTGTATTTACAACTCTTAGTATACAATGCCAAAAAAAACCTTCCATAGACAATGAAAAATCTGTTATTTTATTTATTTCATGTACCAACTTCATTATTTAAGATGAGACAGTGGGTTAAGAAATATAATTCAGTAAAAAAAACAAAAATTTTTTTTTTTTCAGAAAATTTGAATACTGGTTGACTTACTTATGTTCGAGCTTTATGCCGGCCAATAATGAAAGAAACCTTCCGGCTCCAGGGGTTCACAAAGCTGGACCAACTGGAATCCAGTATGATGTAATCTCCATTTTGAGCATAGAATCTAATGGGTGAATGTTCAAAGGGAGGCTGGCCTGCATATTTCAACACTGTATAAAATAACAAGGTAAAAGCAAAATGTATTTACCAGAAATTGAGTATAAAAACATCTTCATTTAGGCATTCATTTGTTCATCTTTTTAGTATGTCAAAATAGAAGAAAATGGTCTTGGCAAATTTTACCTGGTCAAAGTTCTAAAGATTGTTGTTTCTGTATTATCTTTAGCAAAACTTTACTCGCATGGGGTATCAAAAAGGTTGTCCAATGATTTCTGCATTCCATTGGGTCATCTTTCTTTGTGGATATAATACTAGAGTAAATGCGGGGATACAAGTGTCTTTGCTCCAGCTTGGGGGAAACTACATACTATGTAAACTTGCAGAAAACTGGCCCAGGTTCCCTATCCTCGTCTGTAAAATGGAACAGTAACTTCTGACCTACCTGTAGGAGCACACTACTATGAAATCAACAACGAGACATCGTAAATCACTTCTAGAAGCATAACAGGAACAAGCAAGATCTCATGTATATCCAAAATGGGTACAACACAAACAAATTTCAATGTCACTAACAAAAACTAAGTAAGTAAATGGAGTGATGTCAGCTACAAACAGGTATGCGTCACCAAATGTCCACAACATGTTCTGTGATGTTACGTGATTTGGTTGTTGTGTAAACACCAGATGAAAACCTCATGGGAGCTCACTACTGGTTGTCCTCATCGCTGCCACTGCCACTGCTACTGGAGCTATGAGCAGGGGCTGGAGGAATCACTGCCAGCAGCCATGGTAGCTGAGAGGGAAGCAGTGGAAGCAGACTGAATGGAAGCAAGGCTGGGTGGGGGTAGGGCACACACTGTGACCAGTCCTACCTGCTGTTCTGTCCACCTGAGCAGCAGGAGTAGCCTGAGCCTCAGAGTCCCCACTGGACAAAGCATGAAAGTCTATGCCAGAACCTTGTCCTCTGCCCATCTGCTTCTATTCCACCACGATCCAGTGTTGCAATAGAGTGGGTTTGGGGTCTTTAAAACCATAGTGATCCTATGTACAACAAAACAAAACAAAACACTGCCTAGTCCTGTGCTATCCTCACAATTGTTGAGCAGCTAGAGCTCACTGCTGCTACCACTGTGCCAATCCATTTCATTGTAGGTCTTTGTTGGGGAT